TAGTCACACACAACTGCTTTTAGGGGAAAATGGGCGTGGCACTTTTTGGTACTTGTGTAATTGTTGCAGTATTAAATGAAAAACACATATTACACTAACAACAATTGACATTCAATAAGCATCTACTAACATTTTGTAACATTGTAGTATGTTCATTATCATTATTAGATACTTTAGATATTTTATATAAGTGTTATCATGACCCTTCCCTATCATAGGTCATCAATGGTCAAATTAACTTTTAAGTCCTAGAGATCCTTAGTCTTTTTAGTTTGTCAAAGTCGTATTCATTGACTTGTACCTAGAATATGAATAGTTTCATTGATCAAGAGTTAAAATTGATTAATATATTTGTCAGGGTTAGAGCCATTTCATGCAATTGAAAAGTAATGGACCTTTCCATCCTTTGAGTATGATGTTATCTCATGCTGGTGTGATTTGCATACTAGTAACAGTTATGACTTGTATTAAGTTATTTGAACTCATTTATCATAAAACAACCCTTCACTAGTATCTCTCATATTACCTCTGAATCATCTTCATATTCATTGCCTTAATCGAGAAGGAGGGAGGGGTTACAAACAGAGGGCAATGAAAATTTGTAACAGAGTGAAGGTAACGGTCGTAACCTTCGCATCTAAAATGGCGGACAGTAATTGTCGATTTTGATATTTTTAATTTTCATTGAATTAAACTACTTTAGAGTTGACGTTATGCTTTGACATTTGCACCAAATCAGGCTTAAATGACACTGGAACTATAGATGTAGTATTTAAACATGAATAAATGATAGATGAAATGTTGTGCCCTGCCTTAATACATATTAACTAAGATTTCTTATTTTCTCGGATAAATGGTGTCTTACAATTGACTAACTGATTCAGAATCAGTTCTATTATCAATACATCAACATCAGGTAATGCATGATCTATCCAATGGATTAAAGATAATACTTGATTCCAATATGGCAAAATATATTATTCCATGTATGAATTGCATAGTGCATCATTTTGCAGATATTATATGATGCATTCATTGACTCATGGTTAACAAGGTTCGGGTATAACTCCTTTTAGTATTTCACAAAATAAAGAAATATAAACAATTTACACATTTCTGAAATGATGTACCTTCAGTGATTCCTTCAACATGGAAAGTGTTTTGTTATGTTAAAACTTAAAATAATATCTAGACAAATCTGTTTAGTGTATAAAACAATAAAAGAAAATATGTTTAATATCAAATATTATGTATTAGACACATGAATATACAGTGCTGATATATAATAATAAAGGGTGCGTTTTCAAACTAAACAGAGTGTTCTTACCAAAATGAATTTGCCTACATACCCTTGAAACTCTTATCTGATAGATAGAATGCACAAATAAAACAAAAGTTTTGCTATATAGGTAAAAAGTTCTCTTGAAATTTCGAAGTGATTTTATCTCTTAATTCTGTCCATGGTCCGCCATTTTTGCGGAAGTTACACTGAAACGCAAACTGCATGAAACGAAACGAAATCACTAGAAAAAACATGGCACACATTGTGCGCATGTGCAGCAAAGTTTAGACCAATCAGATTATTTGATTATTTTGCGCACATGAATTATTTGCTTCTGAGCACTCACAAGCTTACCACAATAAACAAACCTGGCAGAGACTACCCTTAGCCTACTTCATTTTGGCGAAATTTCAGCTCAAACTCGTGACAAATGCATTATGCACGCTGGTGTGAAGCCTTGGAGACACTAATTTTGGTAAATATGATTTATGGGGTATACTTTTCTGCAGTTTGTGGGAGTTTGGGACATTAAATGTTAAAATTCAAGAAAATATGCCAGTTAAACGACTGATCAATTAATATATACCAGCACTGTAACCTAAAATAAGAAATCTTGTTCTCGTATTCCATTTTAAAATTGGTTGAATGATTTTGGCACAGTAGAAATGATGGTCATGATTTAATATTATACGTAATATGCCCTGATGCTGTAACATCAATGGTCCTTTATAATCAGGTATGACTGAAATATCCTAGATGTGAGTAGAAATAATCTTGATTTACGTCATTAAAAATTTAGTCAACCCGATGTCATATTTGGAATCTACATGTAAAGTTACATCTAGAAATGTGGTTTTGAAAAGAGTTCATCAACTTTGAAAATTTAATTTTCTTTGAAAATGTGACTTCTAGGTCGGAGAGATTCCCCATAGACCCCTTGTTGTAAAACCACAAAAAGTGAAATATCTTTTCTTGTGTTGGGCAGATAATATTTTCTTTTACTGGACATATTTTAATTTGTATAACTATCACATACATATGGGTAATATGAAAAGTGAATCACTAAAACTGATGAATATTCAAGTTCAAGGGAATTTTGTAATACCCTGCCATTTCCCCCGAATCAGCCACCTGGTGGCGAAACTGGTAACTACCTACTCGCATCTGAGCAATTGGACAAGATCTTATAAGATTACAGTTTCCATATACTGTATGTTCCATATTACTACCCCAAATCTCCATAGTTTAAGTTTATGAGTCATTATCTCTCATATTTTATGATGGCAAATGCCTATCCTTGTCTAAAATATGTCATTTTATCAAGTTTATCAATTTTATAAACAAGTATACAATTACACGCCCACCCCCCTCCCACACTAAAACTCCATTTTCTTTATCAAATCTTTCTACCTCTGCGATGATTCTCTGTCAGGCTTCCCCAATTCTCTAATACTGTCAAGTAAACATCTAAATAGGATGGTTCTAGCTATTGCTGTTGTTTTGAAATGTTGACTTTTCTTGGGGAAATATTGTTTCAATTCTGACAGAAGTTTTTAGCCAATATCATTCAATTTATCAATATCCAAACGCAGGGTTTCAGAAAGTATGCGTTTTGTTTGTGCCTGTATTTTCATCATGTGTACTTATTAAGACAGCTATATTTAAATGTAAATACATTAAAACTTGATACATATAATATTTTGACAATTTCTTCAGTAAAGTGGCCATTTTGAGAAATGATATATAGCTTGTACCTTTGTTTGATGCTCAACAATATGTTCGACTGGTTTTTTTTTTATCTAATTCATATATATACCAAATACGAGAATCAGAATCTTATTCTACAAAATGGGTGTTCATGGAAGTAGCACTAATTATTACATCAGTGCTATAAATCGTGTGATTTGATTGGCTAATTCAGTACCATGTGACTAAAAACCATAGCGTATTTCACAGCTCCCTGAATTATTGGCATATTTAAAAGACGTATTGCCCAGCGTATTGCCAGCCTGGGGATTCTGACAACTGCACTTTCAATGATTTTTGCAACATGTATTACCATTGCCCTACGGGCAATGCATATTGCAAAAATCATTGAAAGATGAACAGGTATTGCCCTCCATAGAATGAAATATTTGCTTAATATTTCTTACTGTTTCGGGCTTAATATCAATTTTGTTATAAACTGAACAAAGCGGCAGCTTTAACATGCAGCTAATTCTCCGATCTAACCAAGTGAGCCTCTTTTAATATATCGATAATAATAAATATATATAATAAATGTCAATTATTGTTAGTGTAATATGTATTTTTCGCTACCAAAAAGTACCAAAAAGTGCCACGCCCGCTTTTCCCTTTAAAGTAGTTGTGTGTGACTATATCTGATAAATATTATTGATTTATTAGAGCATTATATCAACTTTTAGTGCTTTAGTGTGAATATGTACATATTTATACAACTTTTGACAATGTGATAGCCACAAAATCCAAACAAATTTGGAAATATTTCACTTTGAGGGCTAGGGGACATATTTTGTTGGAGGTCAAATTGAGAAGATTTGAGATATAAATACTGTTTCCATGGTAACCATATAAGTTAGAGATTCGACGTTCTTGGCACTGACTAACCATAGTATGCCCTGCCTACTATAAAACTATGAATGTATAACATGCATTAGTATTCTTTTTATCAGGTGGTATTAAAGTACCCCCAAGGTTTTCTTGGGGTGGGGGTATGAATTGGCCTGAGGGCCGTCTGCCACCCCTACATGAAGTCCAACTACCCAGAAAGTGCCCAGCATAACCATACAGACTGTTTGAAATATGTGGAATGTGTGACCTTCCATGAAAAGTAGAAGTTGCAATTATCAGAGTAGTCCACAGTCTATCAAACATATGAGTTAAAAAACAAATTGAGAGTTTACTAAAGTGTTTTCATGAAAAATAGCATGCTCCGTCACAGCGGACAATTGTTTCGATTCCTGCCTGTGATACCAGAGGCTGATCAATTGAATATGTATTGAATTTATCAGACTTCATAATTTCATTCATAGACCCTCAAAGAAAAATGTGTGTCATTCTGTATTTGAATCAAATTGAATAAAATCAACTACTCCAAATGTCACATTGACGATATTAAATTCTAAAGGTTCGGTCATGTAGCGCCGTTTAGCCTCTGCTATTATATGATTATACAGTAGAATAGTCGGTTTTTAGTTTGCACATTTTGGGGTAGACACTAGGGAGTTTAAGCTTCCATATAATCGAAACGCCAACCAATAAGGATTTACCGATCGCTCATACAAATGCATCGCTTAAAAATTTTCCGTTCACGTTCACGGTTGTAAAAAACATTGCAAGCTTAAACTCCCTATTGATACATTGTCATGAAGTCAGTGTAAGTGTTTAATGCTAAAACGCAAAATATTTGTTGAAGGTCCCGAATCGTCAAATATTCCATCTGTGGCCAGTAAATCTGATTCGAGCGATAAGAACGTGTTTTATGAATTCGTTTGGGTCGCCTCCATCTGATTTTCGGACATGTAAAACTGTAAATAATAGTAATCGGGTGAAAAAAGTGCGTAGACTTCTCAAAATATACAAATTACGCTGAAGATACTAGATTGCAATAACAACATAATTTTAACATGATAAGTTATTCTTGGACCTCATTCTTCGACAATCAACAACATTATGAAACATACGATGTCATTTTCAGCTACATGGGTAGGAGGGGGTTATATCAATGGAACAGCAGAAGCAACATTCTTCAACGGGTTAGCATGGACCCAAGCACCATTTGGATATGCTATCAGTCTCGCCCTTGGAGGTTTCTTTTTCGCTAAACCAATGAGGGAACAAGGATATATCACAATGCTTGACCCATTTACCCGGAAATATGGTGACGTCATGGGTGGATTTCTTTTCATCCCTGCACTAATGGCAGAGGTTTTCTGGTCTGCTTCAATTCTATCAGCATTGGGTAACTATCACACCTTTGTTAAATTGACAGACATCCTCTAATCGCATTTACATGCATGACATTAAGTTTGGCTAAAAAAACTTTAACATGATCGATCTGGGCGCTAAGAAACAAGGACCCTTAGAGCTGAGCAACAAGGAATGATGTTATTTGTCCCAGGGTTAGAATGAACAGTAGAAACGGGAACTGGTCAATGGAATAAGAATATAATTTAAAAATTTCCATCAAAATAGAATTTTTGCCCTAAAGTGCTACAATTATTTTTCATCCATCTCTCTGTCGCATGCAGAAAATGACATTACCTCAGGCATTAAAGTGATAAACAATTTACCAAATCCAATCAATAATAATACATTTCCATGGACTTTGTGATATTTTAGGTGCAACATTATCCGTGGTCATGGGCATTGATAACCTGATAGCTATCATTGTATCTGCTTGTATAGCCGTTTTCTACACACTACTTGGAGGACTATATTCAGTGGCGTATACAGATATTGTACAACTCATTTGTATATTTGTCGGACTGGTTAGTGCATACTTGTAACAAAATCAAACTGAGAACAATGTTTCATTTTTTAATTTAATAAGTATTCCGTAAAAGCTGAGATAACAAAAAATGACAAATGGCTTTATATATCCAGTAGGCGTTCAAATCGAATTATTTTGACCTTGGAAGAAAAAAACAAAATATTAAAAACGATCATTTTAAGTCAAAGAAAAAGAAGATACAGAGTGAATACTGATTCATTATAAATCCAATTTAATCATATTAATCTACCCGATCCAGTTCAATACATCAAACGTCGATTTAATGATTTTCAGTGGCTTTCTGTTCCATTTGCCATGACCCACGAAGCAGTGACACCTATTGCACAAACGGCTTTACCAGGCGAAGTCACAGCAGGATGGGTAGGAACGATAGCGGTGAAAGACATTGGAACATGGCTAGACTACGCCCTATTGCTTATATTTGGTGGGATACCGTGGCAGGTAGGAATATTACTAAAGTGTAAGTCTTTACAGTTTCAGTAAATGAGATCGTGGTCACGGTAAAACGTTCACTGATATTGTAATTATGATGCATTGAGACTTCATATAATGCTTTCAGGCATATTTCCAAAGAGTTCTGTCATCAAGATCGGCAGGCCGGGCACAGATGCTTTCATTTGTTGGAGCTTTCGGGTGTTTTATAATGACGATCCCCGCAATTCTCATTGGAGCAGTAGGCTACTCTACAGGTTATTTGTATTCGCTTCAAACATGACCGTACTCTAATTGAGTTTCTCAACCAATCAGAGTGCAGCATATCCGTTCTTTAATTCTTCAAAAATGAACGGCCGTGCATTATGCACATCCGGGAATGTCGTAGTTTGGGATATCATGGGTTTATTAGCAGTGTGAGTGAAAATTGCAGATGTACTTTGAGATAGATTCAATCATGGCTAAATTCTCCAAAACCGAGATCGCCTAGTACATATGTGCTGTTCATTATTACTCAACAATGAACGATCCATCATGCATAACTAAATGTTTATGAACTCGGATTGACTACTATGGCCATCCATCCGTGCATAATTAGAAAATACGAATTCCTTTAGTCATGTATCACAAAAATTAAGCTGAACAAAAGTACATGGTTCTGATAGTTTAAAGTATGTAATCTCGCATTTTAGACTGGAATAAAACAGATTACTTTACCGATGGTCGCAATTGGTCCTTGACCAACGGAAGTATCCCAGAAGATGATAACAAGCTGATCCTGCCCCTGGTGTTGCAATACTTATGCCCCACGTGGGTGTCATTTGTTGGTTTGGGTGCTGTGTCAGCAGCCGTTATGTCGTCTGCGGATTCAAGCGTTCTCTCTGCTAGCTCAATGTTCGCCAACAATGTCTACAAAATGATATTTAGGAGGAGGGTAAGCATTGTTGCATCATATGTCACTTAATAAATACTAAATAGTATAATTGAATATGGTGCATCAGACATCACTAAATAGACTGCATCTTATCTCAAGAGATAAACCAGTTTGTCATCATTTTTATATACTCTTCGTTCATACACTGGCGTCTTCATTTTCAGGCATCCCAGAAGGAAATCCTTTGGATTCTTAGGGTTGGTATATTTGTTGTTGGTGCTTTGGCAACAGTGATGGGCATAACAGTGAAGTCAGTATATGATTTATTTTCTCTCTGTTCCGACCTTGTTTTCGTGATCTTGTTTCCACAACTTCTCTTGGTTGTTCATTGGCCACCATCAAATACCTACGGATCGGTGTGTGGATATATCGTCGGGCTTGTCTTGAGATTAGGAGGAGGCGAGCCATTATTGTCGCTTCCACAAGTGATACCATACCCATATGAAATGCCGTTCAGGGCGGTGTCAATGTTATGCAGCCTGGTGACGATTATATGCGTGTCTCTATTCACAAACATGCTCTTCCATAATGGAATTCTCCCGAAAAGTGCGGACATTTTCAAGGCAGTTCTGTACGACAGAAGTATATACAAATCATCAGATGATACAGCAGAGGTTTCCACCCCCTGGCAAAAAACTCATACAAAAAATGGGATTTCAAATCCGGGCTTAGTTGCCGCAAGTAGAGATGATCTTGAGAAAGAGAAATATGACACAACTAAATTGTAATACTAATTAGTTGGTATTTTTTAGTAGGGGATTGACAGGAAAATGATATTTTAACATTGAGAATGTTTATCCAAATTAACAGGTAATAATCAAACAGCACCCTCTTGCAATATCCGCGGTTTTTCGTATATTTCACCGCACGATCTAGCAAAAGCGTCTAGCGTCAAGTTGTGTTTATCTTCAAATGGGAAGGGATATCATGCCAACAAAACTAAGGACATTATCTTTTATAGCATTCATAGAACCTTTTTAATCAGATCACGCAGTGATGACCGAGCGTGCGAAGATGCGATTCAATTAAATATACCATAAACAGATCGGAGATTTATTGTCAATTTTGATTTAGATGCAGTTTTATGACCTACCTGTGTGTGAATCTTGCTAAAGAGTGCGATTTTCTGCTAGATCATACGGTGAAATCTACGAATACAAGCGGATCTTGCAAGAGAGTGCTGTTTGATTAGTACCTTTATTGAAATTGAGACTGAAATTGTGCTCATTACTATACGTTTTAAAATGTGTGTAATGGATTTATCATTACTACTTGTATATGAATATAATTGTACATCATATATGTTGTACATTTTTTATGATATTTTAGTATGCACAAGGGACTGCAGATAAATGCTGTATGTACGTACGTACACGTTCAGTAATCATGGACATTGTTTGATTCGATGATGAATTACAGAAGTATCTGTAATAATATTTTAGTAACACTTTTTCTGAGATTTTTACATCAATGATTATTTTATACCAATGTAACTTGTGTGACATTGTTGTTTTACCAATGTGACATATCATTGTGACATTGTTCTTACACTAATGTGACATATCATTTGACATTGTTCTTACACTAATGTGACATTTTGTTGTGACATTATGTTCTTATATTAATGTGTCATAGCGTAGTAACATTGTTATTATACTAATGTGACATACTGTTGTAATATTGTTCTTAAATATACCTATGTCACATAACATATTGCTGCAGTGTTTCATATTATGTGATATATCGTTCCGACATTGTTTTTTTTGGTTTTTGTACTTATGTAACATAGAGCTCGAGTGGTGAGCGTTGTAATATTCTTCTTACAATAATGTGACATGACGCTAAATCCGAACGTATATGTACGCCTATGGCATGTTGCACCAATCATTCTTAAACAAGTGTATTAAAGTATCATAATTTGTAAAAAAAAAAAACTCCCCGTCATGCATTATTATAAGCTACCGATACGCTGATATTGCATTCCTTTTTCAGTTTTAGTTCTATATTCATTGCTTACTATATCAACTATCAATTTTTATCTTCGGTTGTTTGTTGATATACAGGGTGTACCATGATGATCGTTTCAAGGTTAATCTTGTGTATTCACTAGCCACATTGGAATCGATCATTATGCATATATAAAATTTGAAAATATATTCCTCGGTCAACCACCTACCACTACCTTATTAAGAAGACATAATTTCGTTTTGATTGTAACAGGGGCTTTTGCCTCTAAAATGGGGTCACACAGGGTTACTTTCTGAAAACAAATACTATCGGGTGTTTTTCAAATTTTTCTTCAACATGTATTGGAATGACTTCAGAATTAATGAAATATCCCGTGTATGGTGTCCTGGTTCTGGATTGTAATATTGGCTACCATGCACGCAGGGTCTTGTGATAACTACCTCACAGTAAAATTTAAAAAATTTGGAAGTACTTTGAATTTAAAAAATAAGCAAGAATTGCAACAGTATATGAAAAAAACATGTACAAGGCATAACATTTGTTTATTTTTAGAAAATAACATGGCAGAAAGCAACAAAATATAAGAGGCCACACATATGATAGCCAAACTACATAACAAAATTAAATATACAAAAGTTAGGTCATGTATAAATGTTTCTGTTTTTACATATACTGTTTCAATATGGTCCTTTGATAGCTTATTTTTTAGATTCAAAGTACTTCCAAACATTTAAAATTTAAGCAGGGGAGTCGAACAAATGCAAAAGGTAGATATTGGCTTTCGATTGGAGGGAGAAGGCGATGTTAGACAGTATTTATTTTCACGTTAGATCATGTTTTTGAGGAAGGGTCCATTTTTCTTACGACAGGTTGACACTGAGTTTGCTTTTTCTTGCTAGGTCTCTGAACAGTTTTTGGTCTCTGTGCTTAGATATTCATGATCTCCGTTCAAGTGTTTTAAATGAAGTACATGTTCGTGTGATATTTGTATTTAAATATAGCCATCTCTAGATTAGTACATAAAAATATCTTTGAAAAGAGGAGAAATGTAGCTTTGAGGCACATTGAATGAAATCAATGCAGTCATTACTAGTTCCATTTCTTTGCCATGTTCAGCACCAGGTCCAGGGGCTGAATTTTCCAATGAATAAAACTTGTTCTAAGATCGAGTTTTTCCCACTGAACAAAAACGATGATAATTCAGCCAACCATGATCCCCTGTATAGGAATGACATATCATGAAAAAGAGAAGAAACGTGGCTTCATGATAAACTGGTTTTGTAGCTTTGCTATTTATTTGTTTGTTGCGTTTTTATACGTAGAATCCCGAGGTACTCCATTGTGGGTAGTTTTTGCACGAATAAGAGAATGTTATATAGAGTTGTGTTTTCATTGTGTGCCATTTAGATTAAAAGACCAGTTTTTGTGATGACCAGTGCTACGATCACAATGTGACAATAAAGTGACATTGACTCAACAAATAGTTAGCCTCTGAGCTCTTTCATGTCTGCAAAAAACGAAAACAAATATTTAAATCTTTGTATCGATCGATAACTAGGTTCACATCGGGACGCTTATTAATAAACTTTTCAGTCGTTAACACGGTGTTATAGCATGACGGTTACGACACCTCTGAAAACGAGATTAGACGACTACGATCACTGATTTATCCAACAAAATCGCCGCGAGGGAACATAAAACTAAGGTTGGTGCATTATTTTCTTCTACTGTGTATTAATGAAAGGATGAACGATTTGTGTAGGCATCGCATTCGGTGATGCATTTAGTAATGTATATTTTGAACGTATTCTTTGCAAATTGATGCCCGGGGATAACATAAAATAAGCGAAAAACTGTTGAGTTTGAAATTCAAAACTACACAAAATTTAGTAATTTGTTTATTTTTGTCGTTATGGTATGGTCTACATTGCCTAACGACCTCGGGTTATTTTGATGTAACCTACATACGATCATAAAAAGCCAATTGAGCATTGGAAACCACCTAATATGTTCTACTTAAGCCATCATATTGTATTTTTAATTTGCGGTTACGCAAAAAATTGATTGACGGTTACGCGAACCTCATTCAAATATGTATACCAGAATC